CTTTACCATAAATAATATCTATAATTTTAATAGCTACTACAATTTCGTCGAGCTTTCACCTCAAGCAGTGAAGTATCAACATTATCACAAACAACAACTTCAAGCATGCAGAGATCATCATCATTGTCATCATTAGTAAACCCTCCATCTACTACTCAACCTACACTAAGCATGTCATCAGCCACTACACTAAGCACAAGTTCTACTGTGATGCCTACCACTTCTGCTGATGATAGTAACAATTCGTTAGTTATTGGAGGAGTCATTGGTGCAGTGTTGCTTATTTTAATAATACTAATAGTTGCTATTCTGTTGATAGTTTTATTAGTATCAAAATCAAGAAGAAAGTCTCGTAAACTGAATGTTCCTGCTACTACAAATCTTACAAGTCCAATACGTAAGAAATTTATAAATACGTGCAATAATTAATTTTGATTTTTATAGTTTTTTCGAATTTATATAATTCAATGTCAAAGGATTCAAAAGCTGCTCCATCTGAAGAACATCCAGTTCCAGACTATGATGATCCTGCTTTAACTTTGAAGCATGAGACAACACCACAGACTTTTACTAATCTACTGTACTCTGAATTAGAAGCTTTGAAAACTGAGGTGCTCTTTATAAAATTTGAACCATGTTATTATTGATCATTAATAGGACGACAACAAGTATCCAACTGAGGATTATGACAATGAGAATATTGCCAATGTGGTCCTACCTCCTCCAATTTATTTAGATGTACGTGTATCTAATAAAAAAGATTTAATTTAATTTGGAATTGATAGGTTGATGATGACACTAAAGGTGTAGCCAATTCATTGTATTTCATACAAGAAGAGGCCGAGGAAAAAGATGAAGGGGGAGCTGGGGCTGTATATTTTACACTTGATGAAGATGTCAGTTAAATAGAAATATTTCATATCATGATTGTCATTTACTTACAATAGGCTGCAACTGAAAGTGGTGATAAGAAAGATTTGCCTGTTTACTTTACATTAGAAAATGAACGTAAAACTGTACCAAAATTTAATGCCCGCAAACTTGTGAGTACTAATATTATAAAAGCTTGTTATTGTTATTGCTTTAGGCTAAAAGGAACACCATTGCTTTTGTTCAACCTGGAGAAAGTGAAGATGAAATTTATGGTCAAATTGAGCGTTCATCAAATCCTATGATTCATAGAGACAGTTTGATGTATGTGTATCAAAGCTAACAATATATATCTGGTATTTTTAATAGATTGAGTACTATAATTGGATCTGGTCAGTTTGGTAATGTGTGTAAGGGACAGTGGAAGAAAACTAATGGAGATACCATTGATGTAGCAGTTAAGATG